TCGAAAATCGAAATTGGATCGAGTATAAATCCCTTCGGAAAATTCGAACGAAAAACTTAATCTTAACATAACCCGATCCGCCGTAAACTTTTGTACGTGACGATAAGATGTAGGAAAATTGCCATCAAGAAACCTAGCAAACCTTTAGCGCGCGAACGCAGCACGCGATTTCGTCGACGATAAAATCGAAGAAAATCCGTGGGGAAAATTGCCGCGACGTTCGTTAATTAATTAATCCATGTAACTTCTCGCGTGTTCCTCCGATGAAAAAATACATGGCAACATTTGGAAAATAGAAGGTAAAATTATGTAATTCGAGGAATTACAATGAAATATAATTTTTGAATGAGTAGATATTAATTGAGCTTAAAAAAGCTTCCTTCCAGTGCTATACGTTCACTTTCTGATACTTTATTAGGTAAAATTGAAAGTACAATTGAGCACATTGAAATGAAAATATAGGTATGACAGAAATATGTGAAACTGATAGATAGAAAAGTAATTACAGTTATTTCGCTAATATTGCCTTCATATTTATATATATAATTATTTTTAAGAAACGATCTAGAAATTTACAATGTTATAAATTATAATAACATTATTATTTCAAAGAAAATAGTAGTATTTGTTTATTGCCTGTATCGATCGATTATTATTTCTCCTCTAAAACTGAATAAGATACGACGACGTAAATTTTGCCTTGGTAGAAGCATAAGTACCGCTTTTTAACAAAACAAGTGTTTAATTCTTAACAAATTATCTGAATAAACGAATTCAGATGATAAAAAAGAATCATATGCGGTCTTTAATAATTCTTCGGTTTCATAAAACAAGAGATGAATGTGGGTCAACGAAAAATATATACCACCGATAGATCGCGTATACATGTGTGTTCATGTTGCTATAGATTATCTTTATTTTACATACGTACTAAAAGTGTACGTAAATTCAGGAATCATTTCTTTTTAACAACATATTCACTACGCTTACGTATTCATTCCAATGTTTTAACCAATTATTGTATAATAATTATATAACACTTTTTATATATTAAAAAGCATATCCGTATACGTCGTGAAATTTTCATTACTATCGGATTTTGAATCCAAAAAATACTCTACTTCGCTAAAAGTATAATTGTGCAATTTGTCGAGTATCACTTATCAAACGATAAATTGTTTGAAACCACGTAAATACTTTAACAGAGAACATCATCAGATACGCTTCTGTCGAAATCAGCGGATACTTACAACTAGTACATTTAAAATGAGAATAAATAAATTGTACTTACAAAATAAAGTTGACGCTCGTTAATCGTTTGTATTATGAAACAACAGAACTAAACTATGCTACGCTTTAAAGATCTTATAGCAAAACCATTTTTATAAAAATTAAATTAAACACTAACGAATATCCAATTTATGATTACGAGTATACTTCGTTAGCTATTTCAAATGAACTAGAAATCGGGAAACATACGTTTCATTTAGCGATATTACGAACATTAAATGCTGTCAAACAAAATGTACAGAAAGCCCGTATCTGCGAGCTGGATTGTTAATTTATTCGATTGTGTTTGCTAACACGACCTGTTACACGCGTCGCGTGCAATCAATGCGCGCGTCACGACGCTCGCAAATGTATCTAGTGTTAACATTAAAAATAAAATATGCATTTTCGCTTTCTCTCGCAACGTTCCATCTTACTCTCGTTCGCAGATTAGCGCGGAATCCAAACGATAAGATCGCCATGCAATCGCGAAACCATGAGAATCGTTGAAAAGTAATTAACAAGCAGCTGTTCTTTTTGTTCGACGAACATTCGATCAACGTACGCCCGAGGCGAAGGCAACCGCGCGATAAGAGGCGAAAAGCACAAGAGATCGTCGACAGAATGGAACGTTCCTAGGGAATCGGGGAAATAGGAGCGGAAATTAGTCGATTAAAACAGGATCAAAACCATCTCGAAATTACGCTTGCATGCGTGGCTCGTTTCCCACGGAAAACCACACATGCCATAGAATCGAAGTATGAAAGTTTAAAAGACGAAAGAACCCTCGGCCAATTAATTACCAGTGTCATCGGTTCGGCTATTCAGGGATCGGCCACGATGAAAAACACATCGACGGCAACCAATTAGGCGAACCATTTCCAATTATACCAGACGGAAACGTCTCTATACCGTTGAACGGTTTCTAGTCCACTTTATGGATCGAGCGTATCCTCTGATCGAAACGTGAACCGAGAGAGAATACGTATTATCATCTCACCTGTAACGAGGAGAACGAATTTGTTGGAACGCGTGAAATGTACATCGATGATTTGACATCGATTTGAAGTACACGATAAGGAAGCATAGAGAGATGAGACGATGGAAGTAACCGCGACTCGAGAGGTCGATGGAAACGCGCGAAAGCGGTTTTAAGAGAAGAGCCGGAATGACCAACCTGTTACTTGAAAGCTGCGGAAGCTTCCGAGCGGGGAAATGCGTGCGTTCTTTCAGCCGCGCTCTCGCGTTCAGCTGCCCCTCCGGATGGATACACGTGCTCCCGTATATTCTACAAACGTACGTGGCCACTTAAGTAGCGATACGTGTATTTTTAACAAACAGTGTGTTTCTTTACTCTCTGTTTCCCGTAGTTGGTTTTAGCGTCTATGCGTAGTTAATGTGTGCGCGCGGACACGTATGTTCACGCGCTGCGTGTACCTGATGTACGTGTATACCTGTGTGTACGCGTACGTATATATGTGTATTTATAGGTATGTGTCAAGTTCTAAGTACAAGGTGTGCCTATACGCGGTTCTCCGTGGCTGGAAAAAGCGACGGCGCGCATGCCCGCTTTATTAGACGCGCAAAGAAAAACTCGCGGCGAGCGACCAACTTGACGGAGAATGGACAAACAAAAAAATAGAATCACCGTTATATCTAGAGCGACGATATCGTCGGGCAGGCTGCCCGGCTTGCACTGCCCGGGTCTCCTGTTTCTCCCACCGAGCGAACCACTC